TAGTTTTAAAAATTAATTAAGTTTGTTATTTTTTAAATTAGGAAAAACTTTTTGATATTATCTTTTAAAAGGATATTATTTTAATAAAGAATTTGAATTAGTGGAGAAACAGTAAAGAATGTGGAAATTTATTGGAATTTAAAAACCGAAGATAAATTGGTAAAGTATGAAAGAATTTTTATTACTTTATAATATACAATAAAACTTCTGAAGTTGGTTGCTCCTGTTAATTGGAACCTGAAAACATCTCTAGGGCATAGGTGTTCAAGTTACAGGAACTACACTAAGTTGTGGAACCATTAGTGCTCACCTTAGTAAGGTTTCGCTGTATTTAATTTTATGATTATGAAAACCTCTCGAGTTGAACACCATTCCTACTGAACACACACACACACACCTACGGGTACCTATCACCTATAGGCTTACATACACACCTGCAAACACTTATACACACACACCTTTAAATTGTACAATTGTAATTGATACTGACGAACATCTCTAATACGTAGTGTAGTCACCTGTCTTTAGGATATCTCTCTAACGAGACACCTTTCTGAAGTCAGTGTCGCGTTATGTGTTTAGGCCCAGACGAATTTGATTTAGGGCCCCATGTATTTTACAATATTGACTCCAGACATTTTTCTTCTGAGGGATTTTTTTGGGAAAATATTTTCTTATGAAAGATTGATTTGGGGCTCCCTGTAGGTGCCCCAGGCAATTGTGCTTTTTATCCACAGGATAACATCCCACGTCTGTATTTACTAGTAAGCATCCACCTTCCAGTGGTTTACTATTATGAAAATAGAAAATAATTTGAGTAATATGTATGCAGTGAAGTACTCACAAGTTGGGCACCCACTTGTGAGTACTTCACTAAATTGGACCTTTTAAGTGAAATAGATGGGCATTTATAGTACAAAAATTATTATGTATAAAGAAAAACTCGTTTTAAGGTGAGAACTCTTGACCTGTAAGTCAATTCTTATCTAGTTTATATAGGCCTATATAAATCTAACACTGTCTGTCTAGGACACTCTCTAAACCGGACAAAGTTTTGTGTAAACATTTGTAGAAATCACACTATCATTTTAAAATAGATATAAAAATTATATTAATCATATTCATGAAGCATAATTTATGTGGTTGATAACTTATTTTTTTTATAAGTAAATAAATAATTTAATATCTAAATTTATTGCTTAGTTTATTCTTATTATAATAAAAGATAATAAACAAAATAAAATAGACGTGTAATTAATTAATGTAACATAAAAGATAATTAATTCGATAACTTAATTCACACTTTATAATCTTTCAAATTTGATGTATGATAACGTAATTAATATATAAATTTTTTCAATTAAATTACTCTATTATAACTAGAATTTAGTTATAAATTTATATTTTTANTTCTATATTATTTTAATTTAATTTTTATATATATTATATAATATATAAGTTTGGCTCGTACAAGTACAGATTTACAAACGATACTAAAGTATTTTTCTACTTTATTTTAATGGGTATTTTAATGTTTAAGATCTAAAAAAACACATGCAAACAACAGAGATTTAGTAATAATTTTTAATTTGTATTCTAAAATAAAAATATATCCTTTAATTAACAAATATTCCTTCATTTAACTTAGCAAAGGTTTATATAATTTTTGTATCATAAAAAGAAAAAAAATCGATAATTTCTCTACGTCAACGTCACATGTCTACTCAATAAGCTGACATTTTTTTTAATATTAAACTAGTCATTTATAAATTATTTTATAATATATTATTATCTAGATTCTTATAAATTAAAATATATATTATTCATAATTCCCGATAAGGGTGGTAAGACGAGAAAGGGTAGTAAAATTATAATCAATTTTAATCCTATGGTCAGTCCATTGCACGCTTCGAGACAATTATTAAATTTTTAAGATCACTGGAAAAAATTTAATTTATATATAAATTAAAGATTAAATATTTAATTAAGTTATTAAAATTTAAGTGTTTCACAATATTCTATGCAATATTATGCAACCCTCTTGTTGCTCGACTGTTATGCGCAATATATATATTAATCTACTTAGCTCATCTTACTGTCACTATTCATATTAAATATTTAATATTGTAGAAATACTTTATCTTACATCCTTCATATTTCGTCTCTACATATATTAAATCTCTCACTTAATCCATCTTTCTTAAATAATATCCATGAAATATGTTTTACGCTATGTTTTTAATATAAAGCATAAAATTAGACCTCTATAAAATTTAAGTTTGAATTTTTAAAATATTTATTTTAATTTTACACAAGCTTAAAATTCTCTACCAATTATATATACGTGCATAATTCTGTTATTGTTTTCAATTTGATTTTGATATAACCTGTCTACGTTTGACATTAGCGTTTTCATAAAAAAATGTGTTCAATATAGACCCCTTCATCTGACCTCCTGGATATCGATCTAACCCCATTTGCAATATCTTTGTTAGTCCTCTCTACCTGATGCTCCATATATTCCTCTCTCAGATAGTCCTTTCTACCTGGACCCCACATATCTCTCTATTCTTCTGTCTAGGGGATGTCTCAAATAGTCCCTTCTACCTGGTATCCCAGATATCCCTCTATCTAGTGTTGTTTTAGATATTTTCCTCTATCTGGTGTTCCAGATATCCCTCTATCTAGCAATGTACTGTACCTAGATAGAAGAGTATAAAAGGATATCCCTGTAAGAAGACAGCCTTTTATACTGGACAACGCTCTTTAGAAGTGTATGTAACTTGAGGGTGTTACTGTATTAATATAATTTTTATTATAATTAAATCAAATTAATTATGTACTTTAAGTTATAAAAAACAGCAAAATTTTCTCATTATTAAATTAATTTCTATTACGGACAAGTAAATTATAGCCTACATTTGAAAAAAAAGCTATAATCATAATTACATTATCTGATACTGTAATTACAATTACACTTAAATATAATTAATATGAATATAATTTTTACAGTAAAATCGAAGACAATAGGTACTGAGTTTCTAGTATTAATATATGTTACATCGACAAAATATTTTTTAATATATTTACGGTGTACAGTACTGTACTTCCTCATAGGAATTAAGAAAATTTGGAATAAAATAAAGGAGGAGTTAGATAGAATTTTTATTTATTTATTTGAATAATATGCAGTGAATGGAAGACATCTTGATCAATATCGCCATAGTTTATAGACATTTTCCATTAGTTGATCCACTAATTGATCGTAATTTATAAAAATAATACGTAAGGAATTTAAACGAAGCAAAGACAATTGTATATTCGATAGTATACAATTGACAAAGAACACCAAACAACTTCAATTTATTCTTATCTATCTTAAGATAAAGAGCATTTTAAAGGCTATCTATATGTTAATGGAAGTATCGGTTTTTAATTTAGAAGTGCCTGCAACTCCTTGCCGCCATCTATTAATAAATTTCAGAATTATAAAGACTCTTCCCAACGTTTTGTTTCAGTTCACACAACGAATCTTTTATTCTTCCACTTCCTACACTCGCTCACTTTCACTTTATGATGAGTTTTAATACCCGATAAGCTCCGGATATTAAAGAATCTTTTACCATTTAAGAATATCTTATGTTAAAACTGGGGAAGAATCAATTTCTTTTTGGTTAAATCCGCTTAGTTTCTTGTCGTTTCCTAGAAAATATCCTTCGCTCCTAGAATGACCCAAAATTGAATTAACTGCGATACATTTTAAGATTATGCAGCTCGGTTAAGTGACTTTTGGGCTATTCCTGTTTATATTTATGAAATTCCTTAAAAGGTCCTTACATTTTCTACAACGTATAATTTTTTTTCCGTGTTAGAGGGGTTGGAAAGAGCTGAATCGAAATGATTCTTCGTTGCCGAGCCATTTACAACCTCCCTCATAATTCTGCTGTGTGTCGTGCAGAAAGGTGGATATCAGAACGTTTTTATGACCTCATAAAATTCCTTTTTCCCTCTCTTTTTTTTTAAGTTTATATTGATAATAACTTATTTATGTAATCTTACCGAATCACTAATATTTTATTATGAAAAATTGAGAAAAACTTAACAATGCCCATACATTTACCTCTTTTGTTCGCCTCCATTTCTAAAGAAATTAATTAGGATTTTCCATATAAAAATTATTAAGAAATTCGCTTAGGAAGCACTAAACAGGAAATTAATATTTTTCTAAATGATAATTTATATCCAAGGATATCGGGAAGCATTATAACAAGTTAATTTTGCCAGTGGTCAATAACTTTACACGTGCTTTTAACTAAAGGGAAATTCTATGTGCTAAACATTATAGCACATATAACTAAGGCATTTAATAAAGTCCAGAGAACAAATTTTACCTTTTTCTTACCGAAATTTCATTACTTTTACCTTCTCCAATTCACTATCAACAAATACAGGTTGAGCAATAAACATTCGAAGCATTCGTTTTGCCAGAAACACAATCGATATTATGAATATTTAATTATTAATTACAGAAATTTATTAAAGAATCCATCCACTAACTTACCGGTATTTTTAATTATCTCTCTTCCTTATTTTTCATTATACAGTATAATAATTAAAAAAACAAACAAAGAAAAATATATTTAAAGCAAAATAAAAATTCTAGTGCTGTTGAATGGGTGTGTTCACAAACGAGGAAAAGATTGCTCTTAATCTTCCAAGATATTTTAATATTTTAAAAACTGGAGATTATATCGATTTTCAGATGCTTTTAAAATTTATTTCCTGTATTCTAAACAAAAGTTTTTCTTGTTTAGCATCTAGAAAAGGGGGTGGCTCTTGTAATTTCTACGAGTGTCAAGCGAAGTATTGCATGTTTACGTCTTACACTACTCAACATACGTACTGTACTGTACCTACGATATAAGCTTATAAGTGTTTGTGTGTGGATTAAACACAAGATTGATCAATGGAGCCAACAAGCTATTTAAACGATCACTTACCTTATAAACCTTCAAGATAACATTCGTGTGACTGGCTTATCCCTTAATAATTTACATTATCATCCTTTACGTTATCTGTAAACGTCAATGAGTACCACTCGCAGCGAAAGATGAAGTAAAGTATGAAGTACACGCGATATCATGTACAATGTCACCAAGCGATTCGACAGACTGAGAATTGCTGACTGAACAGCACACGTTTTGCTTGTTGCTGGGTGTGTGACGTCAACCGTTCCCGTCCAATGGCAAAACGTGACGACATATATCTTCAATTAGCTTTTCGTATGTTTTTCTCTACAAAAATAGTAAATTAATTAAACGAAATTATCCCATTCGTCTTTTAATTAAACATTATCTTATTTATAATATGAAATTGTTTCGATTGTTCTCTATTTTTTGTGTTTTTAATTCATTTTTTAATATTTAACTAACAACGTGACGTTTATTTACGTGCACGAATTTAATAAGCTTAACTCTCTTATTTTAAAAATTGATAAATAACCAATAAAAGGCGAGTAAAATTTAATCCGGCCAATAGAGTCGCAATAAATTTCTTACGTCGACGAGAAAGGTTGAAATCGGATTTAAAGAATTGCAATTTGACCAATGGAGACGGATAAAAATTTAATCCACCAATAAGCTGTATAATACGCTTTTACGTCATGATAAATTTATCGAATCGGATTTAAATGACGATTTTTTTGAATTAGTCATGTGACTAATCATTTCTCACCTGTTTATCGCTCAATCTTGTTTCTAATTTCTAATAGAAATTTAATTATATTTTGAGATTTATAATGCGAATTTTTCCCATGTAGTGTATATAATATTGATGACGTCGAAAAGAAAAGGTTTATCTTCATCCATTACGTCATCGATTTGGGAAACTTTGGCTTCCATTCGTAGATGTCGATTCGAGTTTGGAACATTCCTGCAGCAACAATGTCCACCCCTTTAGGAGGGTGAGCCCTTCCGGTAGAATGAGAAGAGAGGTGTGATTTTCCGGTTTGATGGAAAATAGTCCGGAAATCTTTCCACCCGCGAGGAAGTTGGTAAAGCTTTAAGTGGTAATAAATGTGAATTGGAATTTCCTGATTTCCACATGCTGCTATGATATTAAACTGCCCGATTTAAACTGTGTAATGTCGGTTTTTTACACTGACTCCGACGGTGGTACACGAGTTTTGTGGGTGAAGAACTGAAAAAAATCCCCATATTTTCCGTCGTAGACGTGACATTTTCAGTATCGATCAATTATAGATTGATGGAAATAACTTACCAACGTTTGAGCCGTGTTTATATTTATGCCTGTATGGAAAATGTCACGCAAATGTCAATTCTTTTTTGGTATACATTCTGGTTTACATATATTCTTATAATTTCTTTTTANTCCTAAGGGGGTCGATCCCCAGAAGGTGACCTCGTCGCTGAGTTCTGATGGAGTGTTGACGGTGGAAGCACCCAAAAAGTGTGAAGAATTACCTTCTAATGAAAGAGTTGTTCCTATAACGGTGAAGAGTACTCCAGCAGTTACAGAGAAAGAAAAATTTGAGATTTCAAAACAGTAATTTTCCTATCAAAATACAGTAAATTTGTAATTTTAAATAGTTTAGATAATTTTGTAAATTCTCCATCTGTATACATGTAATTTTAAATATTCATTTAGGCTATATAAATAAATATTTTTAATTTTCTTGAGTTTGTTTTATCCTTGAAGCATAACTTTGAAGTTTCCTAACATTGCAAACAATGATTATAATAACCATATTTAATAAATGTTCAAAATATTTTTATTTTGCACAATTTTTTCAAGAAATTTAACATTTTCTATCCATAAATTTTATCTTTATACGCGTAATTTATAAGTGTTAAGAATATTAGTTAAGAACGTTGTTAAATGACAATATGAAACTGAACTCGAAAGTACAAATTTCTTACAATTTTGCTATAATTTTGCTGATAATTTGTAAAATAGGAATTATAATAGTGGGAGAAGTGACAACACAGACAGGATATCAGGTTAGATCATTACCTTTAAAGGCTTTCTATCAGTTCACCTGCTTTTTAGTAGGTTGCAACTGGGCCTACGTAAATTGAGCAAGCGTGAAAAATGAATTGTTCAGTTTAACGAATTAAAAATAAGTTTTATTACTTTATAAGCAATATTATTCATGGTATTGACGCGACAAAATTATTAAATTAAATTAAACAGATAGGTTTCGTGAGTACTCGAGTTTCTTACCTCTTTTGTACCCTCGAATTGTTCGATTATATCCAAATTTTTTAGTAATTATTGGACTATTTTTTTGTAATTTTAATACTTTTATACACAAACCCTAAAAAAGTATATTTAATAATTTTACATTTGTATCCAACTCTATTGAATGTTAATGAAGATATCTGAATTTCTATAAAAATTAACTTTCTTGACGTCAGTAACTTACTTGGTGACGTCAGTTAACTCTCTTAATAAACACTAAAAAATCTGTTCAGACTAATGATATTTTCTCTTCTTCACGATCGAATCTATAAAAAAATCAAAATAGGACTAGGCCTCATGTTTATTGTCCATATAAACTATTGATTCCATTGTATTTCTTGTGTATTATTTGTCGCTGGTGGCCTCAAAAGCTACGTTGCCAGGTCTCTGTCGACCTGTAAGAGTCTCCGCCTGTGATTATCTAGAGATTGAGGAAGGAGAGTTGCAGTGGGCCAAGAATTTCAATAAATCTGTTGTAACGAGGTGTAGAAGCTAAAACAATGTCACCTTGTCACTGATTATATGAAATAATTACCTAACCTTATGACAGGATAGTTTGTTTATGCGGCTTATAAATTACTGATATCGATTCTTATTACTGTAGTTCCAAAAAAAGGGTCCGTTATATTTTTAGAACTAAATACTTTTTATTATTAATTTAACAAGTGATTTAAAATCTTTAAATTTAATTAATAGATTTAAAATTTAACATAGTACATTTTTTCATTTTTGCATTTTATTATTGCTCTTAAATAGGCTCGTGTTAAATAAGAGTTAGGAGCTGCATGGAAAATTAATGGAGCGCTTTTATAAGCAACCAATAATTATAAAGATTTTCTTATTTAATCTTGATTTAACACATTAACGACACATGCTGCATTTTCTTATTTTATTTTTTACATTATTTTTTTAAAAAAACTGTACAAGTAATGACATTACAACGATTTCTTTAATGAAATTTAATAAAAGTTCTAAGCCTCGTCTCGAAACGTAAAAAAAATCACATCTTGTATGCCCTAAGCATAGTTTTAAGAGTTGAATTATATATGGGCCCTCTGATATTTTATTATACTATATATATACATATATAGTATAATAGAATATCAGAGGGCCCATATATAATTCAACTCTATATATATATATTTAGGGCAGCCCCAGAGTCAATTATTCATTGGAAAGAATAAATTGGCATCTTAATCATATCTTTGTTCATGTTTTCACTAATTTTGTAAAAGAAATATACGCTGTTCTAAACTCAGTTTACGATTTAAATTCGCAAGCGTAGCTGGCATACACTAAAACATGGTTAACTGTCTTTTGGGCCACTTCCCAGAACACAACACAACACACATATATATGTATACATGGTGCATCCTATACAGGAAGATATAGGAGATATGCGAATTACATTTTATCAGAAGTGTTTGAAGATATAACCCGTGTGGCATATTTCAAAATGTATATATGAATTTCTTACTACTATTATACATTTGGGATATGCAAGACTTCAACATTTCTGATATAATGTAATTCATATATTTACTATACGGTGTTGCTATACGCATACACACATAAAAATAATTTTTATGCTCTTTAGAGTTGAAATTAATTGATTTTTTAATAGAATTAACAATTTAGTAGAATAAGGTACTGTTTAATCGTAAAAAAATTTAAAAAGTAGTAAAAGATTTAAGTGTAATTTGATTTTTTTTAATGAAGAGATAGGTGGTTCTCTGCATTCAAGCAAGATATAAACAGAAACAAACGTCAGAGAGGATTGGTGGAAAATGAAAATGATAGATACGCCCATTCTGCCAATTGGCTGCTTTGAAATCATATTATCCCAAATTGGATTAGATAAATTTCTTATGTATGTAAATAAATAAATATGTATGTAGGCATAAATATATATGTAGGCATATATATATATATATGCCTACATATATATTTATTTATTTAAATTAATTAAAAATATGACAGAAGCATGCTCGACAATCCAATGCCGCAATAACAACCATTACTAGCTGAAAATTTGGAAAGTAAACAATTTTAAAAATAAAAAACAAAAATTCGAATTTATATAAAGAACAAACCTCTTCGTTAAATTTACTCCTGGATAATTTATTAGATTTATTTGCTACTTTAAAAAATTTTTGCAAGCTCTTATTTGAAAAAAAAATCTGATGCTAGTTTTATCAATATATTATTAAAGCGTACTTTAGATTAATTTATTTTACGAGGAAGTGACTTTATCTAATTTTATTTATGCTTTATCCACGACAAAACTTGTCTCAGAAGACACATAATTGGTTATTTCCAAGTGACAAGCGTGACGTTTACCATCTGCTGTGCAATCCGTGTTAACCTGCTGCTAAAATACAATATTAACTTCGTATTATATCTCTGCTGGAAACGTATAAATGCATCATTTGCCCCATTTTTGGCATTAATATTTACTCCTTAATTTATGTATTAATTAAATTCTGAAGATTTCCTATTGTTGTATAAGATAACCTTTTTTCCTCCCCTGTGTTGTCATATTAAAAATTCTAGTATCAAACAAGGAATTTCTGGGGCGGAAGAAAATCTACCTTTTTTAGATATAAAATACCTTTTACAATATTAATACCAAATTTTATATTCTTTTACTTTCTTTTTAAATCAAAATAACCTTCGTTTAATATCTTTTCTACTGATGCGTGCGAATTATAGGCCTATACATACTTCTTTCCTATCCTGTAATACTAAAGGGAAGAAAAACGCTTAGGTGCGCTTCTTTTCTGTCTGTTTATCGGTTTTTGTTTCATTTAAAAATGTAATATAACATTGAAAACATTTTACGGAGCTTTTAATACCTTCTTGAGCTCATTTTAAAGTCTAAGAACACATTTTAAAGGTGTTTTATTCATTAATAAAGTTAATTGTTTACGTTGAAGCAGTATTCTAATTAAATACT